GATGACCTCGATGGCCTCCTCGACATCTCCCACGGTGCTGACTGGATCACGGTCTCTAACGTCTACTTCCACGACCACGTAAGTCCTGTCCTGGTCTTGACTTCTGTTTCTTGGTTCTCAACAGGTTCCCAACTAACAACAACGCCAACAGTGGAAGGGATCCCTGGTTGGTCACTCCGACAGCAACGGCAGCGAGGACAAGGGCAAGCTTCACGTCACCTACGCCAACAACCATTGGACCAACATCAACTCCCGTACTCCTCTCGTCCGCTTCGGCACCGTCCACGTCGTCAACTCCTACTACGACAAGCTCCTGCTCACTGGTATCAACTCGCGCATGGGTGCTCAGGTCCTCGTCCAGAGCACCGCCTTCAACAGCTGCCCCACCGAGGCCATCTTCTTCGCCGACTCCAAGGAGACCGGCTACGCGGTTGCTGAGGACGTTGACCTCGGTGGTTCCAAGAACTCTGTTCCCAAGGGAACTCTCACCTCTGCCTCGCTGCCTTACAAGATTGCCGCCCTCGGCTCCGGCAAGGTTGCCGGTTCCGTCCCCGGCGCTGCTGGCCAAAAGTTGTAATTGGGTCATCAGCCGATTTGGATGTCGTAATTATGATGCGATCTGATATTTCTTTGTACATACTTGACTCAGTATATATGAGTGACGCCGCTGGTCTGTTGATGTACGCCCCTATTGTGTACATATGGGGCCAAACTGTGCGCCAGAGCTGGATTATTTGGAGGCATTGTATATACGTCTGCCGTTTACTCTGTAAACTGAACAGGATTTTCTCCCAGCTTTTCTCCCATTGCAGTCTGTCTCTAATGAAGCCATCGCTGAGTTCTATCTTCCGTCTATCATTCACGTGAGAGGCTCATCGATGGATCGGCAACAAATTGAGTGGGGAATTGTACGGGCAATCAAGGGCAGCGCCCTGTTATATTCCCCATTTACAGATCAGTCAAAACGTTCTCATCCCGCTTCTTGATGCGAGGAAAGCAAAGCCACACGATAGCCACAACTGCGATGAGCGACAAAACGATTGGCTGGAGTACAGCAACACCCTTACTCGTCGCAATCGCGCCGATAATGAACGGGAAGACCGTTCCGCCAGTACCACCAATGGCCATGGCAAAACCAATAGCGCTGACATGGATGTGCTTCGGGAGTAGCTTGGCTGTCATCATGACTGCGCCAGGAAACATCGGCCCCAGGAAGAACCCGAGGAAAGCCACAGCAATGGCTGAAACAATGAATTGGGGGACGAGCCAGAAAAGAAGCTGGAGAGCGAGACAGATGGCGATGTAAATGCTGATGCAAAGCCTTTCTCCGTAACGCTCTGTCACGAAGCCCAAAGTAGCACGTCCCAGGGCCTGGCCTGCCCAGAAGCCGGTCGCAGAGATACCAGACGCGTAGGCGGATGCCTTTCGAACGCGTAGCATGAATGTAACAATCCAGCCTCCGAGACCAACTAAGAAGCTGAATTAGCAACTTTCGAACGCCATGTCTACGAAAAGTCTTACCTTCGACACCCATGTACGCAAAGAAGAACACGGAACAGAGCCAGGTTACTTTGGATTTGAGTGCAATTCTAGTACCCGCACCCCCGTTACCCTCATTCTCGTGCGCGTGTTCTGCGCGATATACGGTACCGGTCTTTTGCCAGAAGGTGACAGTGAGACCGACGAGTTCGAGGACAGATGCACCGACCTGAGAGTTCTTAGTACATGTATTGCCGAAGGCGCCGGCGAAATGGGACTCGACTCACCATTACATAGTAGTAGTTGTACCAAGGCAACTTGGCAGTTACCACCATCGAAGTAGCGATCAGTGGAGACACGAGAGCTCCAACGGAATAGAAAGAGTGCAGGAACCCCTGGATTGTGTTCGCCTTATCCATGGCGCCAACCCAGGCGCAAAAGCACGCATCAGTCAGTCCATTGCCGAATCCGCTGATCATGTTGGCCACGATGAGTGCTGGGTAAGGAGGATGCAGGGCCAGGACGACGTATGTGATGATGTGGCAGAGAGGTGCCATGATGGCCACGCCTCTTTGACCGAACTTCTGATGAATCCTAGCGTTGGTAAATGCCGCAACCGAGTAACCGGCGAAAGGAGTCAGGAAGATCAACGAGACGATAGTGTAGCTGAGTTCGTAGTAGGTTTCAAGCTGAAGAGTAATTAGACTGACAAGTCCACCGCAAATCCTCAAACATTGAAGCGCATGGAAAGAAAACGTACGTAGGGAATCAAAGCCTGAAGGATGGTATCATGTTAATGACTGTTTACAACTTGTCGACATATTGATGACCACTTACACCGACTGCTGCGTCGTTCATGCCGGCAATGGCAAACGAGAAGAAAGCAAAGCCCAGTCTTCCCATGTTACCCCTTGGCGAATTCCATCGTTCGATAGCTCCATGAGCATTCGTTGGAGGGGTGTCGTCGGGTACATCTGACGATTGATGTTCTTCGGGTCCGTCTTTCTTCGGTGAGGCACTCCCAAGTGCGCGACCGCTTGAGCTCAGTCTGCCAAGCTCATAGGGTTCCGAAGTGAAGGTTTTCTGATGCTGCGCCTCGGATCGCGCCTCGGTGGCGGTTTGCGACATCTTGAAGGGGTGTTGGCCAGTCACCAGCGTAACCAGATCTTCTAAAACCTGTGTTCAAACGAATTGGCCTTTACAGAACACAAGATGAGAATCATCAAGAAATCTCATCGAAAAGAAGAACGACTACCATGATGATAAAAAGGTCGCCGAAGGCGGTCTGGTAACTTTGCTTGACCGAGAACTGGGGGCGGGGGAGCTTCCGCCGATAATTATCCGGGGCATCTGGGGTCCCAAGGATCCTTTCTCGGAGTCAGACGCGCAGCGCTAGCGGAGTATCGGTGGGAAACATTCCTGACTAACACACGTAGACGAGGCGAGGAGGCGGTTTTCCTCGTTGATGATTCGCTAGCGGTGTCAAACACACCCATTCAAAGTTGACTCGGCCCAGTCTTAGCTAAGGTAGAAAAGGCGATCGGACTTGCTCCACTGGGCCGAGTCACTGGGGAAGCAACAAGTTGCGGCGTCGTTTTGCGAAACCGAGGCGTCTACACCCATTCCGACCAGCAAGGCCCCGAAAGTTTGAGCGAGAACACAGAGCCAGTGACAATTATTATAAGAAACGTAGCAAGTAATCTGGAACATCGTTATGTAATAATTGTACAATGATCACTACGAGATTGAGGAGGATGGTGATAAGATAGGAGTTTCGATTTACCGCATGGAAATCCAAGCCAGCAAAACCACGCTCGACTCTGATTGCTTTGAATCCTGCCTCAATTTCATCTCGGGAACTGTGTGCGGAGTGAAAACAGAAATGCATCCAAAGTTACGGCTTAACAGAGGAAATTGGAAGATCGAGGAATTCGAGAGACTGGTTTTGTCGTTTCCGAAGAACTTCGTAAGGATTGGGGTTGGAAATAGTGTCAATCATGAACATAAGCAATCAACAACAGTCTAGGTAATAGGTTGGCACTCGTTGAACACACCATGAGTATCGGTATTTCGAAGCCGCTGCCTGTTTTCCTAGCAGGAAGATGGCAATGTCGAAGTCTTGTTGCCTTCAAACTTGTCGATGCAGGGCGCTTCGCATTGCGATGTGGGCATGAAGAATACGTTGTCGCGATCTATGGTCTCAGGCAATCGTTCTCGCAACCGTTCGAGAAGAATAACGATCTCAAATGTCAAGACAGCTTCCATGATCGCGGGACCAGCAGCTCGTCGTGTAACGTTTCCCAACTCAATTCTAGGCGAAAATTGATGTCGCTTCCGATCAAGCCAGCCCGGGTGCCCAGCGTTGATCAAGGATTGTAGAAAAGCCTAGAAGATTGCATGAGGCAGAGACAGTCTCAAATTCTGTTTTCGAAATATCGAATTTCGTACTGGGATGCTTTGAGAATAGCCAACCAGGAAACGTGCCAAGTAGAGATGTATATCCTGTGGCACCAACAAAGGAGAGGTCTCAGTCTCGAAACAGCGGTGAATCATTGGAGCATGTTGATAACTAACGTACTCCAACAACAGATTTGATAGTAAATGAAGATGTACCACAAACAAAGAGGTCAATTACGCCAGATCATTTAGTCTAACTTGCGTCAAACTCGTACCTTAACCCATCTGTTATCATGTGATAAGATGGGTGGTTATCAACGAATTCCTCTCAAATTCGGTCATCACTTCATTTGCACATCATTTCTATTCTACCATGTATCTCAAGAAAGCACAGGGGTGGTCTACCACAGAGTCAGAATATGTGTTACACAGGCCAAGGCAGTTACCCGATTGTGTCCCCCAAGAATGTCGCACAAATATTGGCTCCCAATCACTGCAGCGCCTCAGACATGCATCTACCCGTATATTGACCAACTAAGGTGCGAAATGTGGTGAGAGAAGGTCATCTCTATTGGTGTCTTTATCGTGCAGTGTCATAGTGTTTGAGGTACCTGGATCGTAGATATAATACCGTGATTGACAGGGGATGCAGGCAGGGGTGTCTGCGTGTTTGGTGTTGTAGTAATCGACCTGCTTCGGTTACTCCCTTGTTCGGGCAGGTCATGAAGTGAAAGCGTTTACTTTACCCTTGATGCCTAGATGCGCCAAGTAGGTGATACAGGCCATGTGGTTGGTCGTATTCAGACAATGAGAGAAGAATCACGGCGGCGGCCAACAGACCCGGTTGGTCGCGTCGAAATGCCAATACTGTTGGCCCTCCTGCTCTGTTGATGAAAAGGGGCGGCAGTAGCACATCCCGATCAACCTTTCCTCTCGGATGAGTTGTGTCACCAAACTCGGAGCAATTGTCCCCATTCATTATCAAGGCCGTGGAATCACTTCAATTTCGACTTCGAGTTTACCCCCTCAAGCTCAAGTTTCTAGACTTGTCACCAGCAAACAACCCAGGTTATGAACCATCTCTCAATCGATCTATCTCTTCACGTAAACAGTCCTCTTTCAAGATGGCGAGAGTTCCTGGAATCCCAAATGACGGCAAACCTTCGCCAACAGACCACGACCTAGACAGAGATGGCAACATCGATGGAGCTGGTCTTGATGCTACCGGTTCTTATGAGGAGAAGTACGGTGATGCTATCGGACAAATAACAAGCGACACTAATACCGATTCCATCGCCCCAAGGAATGCTGCAGAGAATGAAAAGATTCGGTCGAGACTTGTCCGCAAGTTCGATCACAGGCTGGTACCTGCCATGTTCCTTGCGCACCTTCTCTTCTTCCTCGACAAGAGCAGCATCGCTCTCGCTCGCATCAATGGACTCGAACGAGACCTCAAGCTGGTTGGCAACCAATTCAATACAGCTCTGGCAATGTTCTTCATCCTTAACATCTTGTTCAATATTCCAGGAAACCTAGCCGTACGCCGTGTCGGAGGCGCGATATGGTTGCCGGCCTTGATCATTTCATGGGGAATAGTCACTACTCTCAGCGGCTTCATCACCAACTTTGTCGGCCTTTGCATTACACGTGCTTTCCTGGGCTTGACTGAAAGCTCTTTCCTCGGTGGTGTCTTGATTTACCTTGGCTTCTTTTACACCGCCGATGAGCTCATCCTTCGCGTGGGCTTGTTCTACTCGAGTACCGCCCTTGCTGTGTTCCTCGGTGGCTTGATGGCTGCTGGACTTGGACAGATTAAGGTCCGCGGCTATGACGGGTGGCCTTGGATTTTCTTCATTGAGGGGGTTTTGACCGTTTTGCTGGGCCTCCTGCTGCTTTTCATCTTGCCGCACACACCTGCTGACGCCAAATTTCTGTCTCCGACTGAAAAGACTCTCGCTGTTGCGAGGATGCAATGTCAAGATCGATGGCACTATCTCGGCAATCCTCGCCTATCCGACCAAGAATCAACAGGAGAAGATCAACAGAGTGGCATTCTGAGGCTCCAGAACAAGAAGGATCCTCTGACTTGGAAGACTATTATAGGAGCAATTGGTAATGTCATCACCATTCTGATGGCTCTTGGAAGCTTCTGCTCCATCCAGGCCATCTACAGCTTTTCCATGTTCTTCCCAACCATCATCTCTGCTATGGGATATAGGAAGCTTCAGGCATCATTGATGACGGCCCCACCGAATTTTGCGGCCTTGATCTTCACTGTTGGCATCTCATTCTGGAGTCGTCGGTCTGGAAAGACTGCACTGCCCTTGAATGTCTGCAGTATGACTGGCATTTTCGGGTACATCCTGATGATTGTTGGGGCCCATGTTGGTCCGGCACCATCCTACATGAATATCAAGATTCAGTATGCAGGCTCATTCTTTGTCGCCATGTCAGTCAACGCAACACCCTCTCTGGCGCTTACTTGGATGAGTATCAACGCATCCCCACACTATGTCCGTGCCGTTGCTCTGGGTTTCTTACTGTCGATTGGAAACTCGGCTGCTTTTCTCGCCTCCTTTACCTACATTAAAGATGAAGCACCCCGGTAAGTTGTCTTTATGAACACACTTGCGCGGTTCCCCTCACTGACTCTGTCATGTCCTAGATATCTCAAAGGGCACTTCATCAACTTTGGCTGTCTGGTTGGATTATTGGTAATAGGAATTATCTTACCCCTGTACATGAAGCGGGAGAACAAGAAACGGTCGCAAGGAGAGCGAGGCTTTCGGCTAGACGAGAGTCAAAGGGATGGCCTATCAGCAGAAGAGCATGAGTTTAGACTGGGGTGGATGCATCCCAGTTTCCGTTTCAAGTTCTAATGTAAGGTACTAGTACCTTAGCTGATAGAAGGTAGCACCGTAACTCTGTCTCTTGAGGAATGATACACGAGGTGGATATAATTTGTCACACAATTCTCTGAATACATGCAGGGAAGCACGCCGTTGAGCCGTTGATTCGAATCCCTTCAGTTTCGGCGACCATTACTCGAATATTTTTCGGCTTTCTCAATCTTACGTATGAAATGTCCTTGAGTGAATGATTTTAGTCCAAAAAGTGTGATGTGTGGAGTCGCCATCACAGCGCTCGGCGAAATGAAGCCATCACCAGAATCGAGGTACGTACCGTCGAGTTCCTTGGAAGATAAACGCCGACGGAGCATTATCTCCGACACTAATGCAACGCGTGGAAACTGCCCGCCAATTTCGCGATTCATTGCCGAGGTGGATCTCCCGTCCTTCAACCTCCTTTCCAAAGATTCCACCTCGCGTCGCCGGAACCTCTCGATTTCAGACGACGTCAACTCTCGGCACAGAGCCGACAGAATCTGTGCGGGCCGTGCTGTGTTGCAAGACGGCTTCACCAAAGCGCAAGAAAAAAAAAAAGACACTCTTACGGACACACACACACGCGCGAACACAGACAATGGCGGCGGCGGGACACGGCCTCTTCTTCTTCATTCCCGGCAACCCAGGGCTCGTCGATTACTACACCGACTTCTTCGATGCGCTAAAGGCCCGCATTGGCTGGGCCGACGGCCACATTCACGTCCACGGCCGCGATCTCTTTGGTTTTAGGGATGACAGCCACGAGCCGTTCAGCAAAGACAGCCCGCCGTATGATGTGGAACATCAGATTGAGCTTGTTTTTGACCATTTGGCATCATTGCGGCGGACAGACTCTTCGCGTAATGCGCCGGGCAAGAAGGGCGAGCCATATGATTTTGTCGTGATCGCGGGCCATTCTGTCGGTAGCTACATTGCCCTTGAGATTTTCCACAGGCACCTAAAGGATCCCTCGCGCGCGCCCCATCTCAAACTTCTGACGGGCATGCTGCTCTTCCCAACAGTCACACATATATCCAAATCGCCAAGCGGAAAGCAGATGGAACTCATTCGTACGACACCATTCCTCAACAATACCGCACACGTGATTGCCCAAAAGTTTTTGAATCTCTGGCCGGCGGTAGCGCTTCGGTGGTTCGTTGGCAATGTCCTAGGCATGGGCCCTAAAGCAGCAGACGTCACGACCAGTTTCTTGAAGAGTCGGGACGGAGTATGGCAAGCCATTCACATGGGCAAAGATGAGATGAAAGTGATTACCGAGGAGAAGTGGGATAAGGAGCTCTGGGAAGTTGAAGAGGACGATGTGGGGAACGGCAAGCGAGCAGCGCCTAGATTCTTCTTCTTTTTCGCGAAAAAGGACCACTGGGTTGGAGATCATTTCCGGGACCATTTCATCAGAGCCCGAGAGAAGCACATCGAGAACGGCTGGGCGAGGGTTGAGATTGATGACACGGGACTTCCTCACGCTTTTTGCACTACGGAGAAGAACAGCGAGATCATCGCCGCTAAGGTCGCCGAATGGTTGAAAGAGGTCTGGGACGGCTTGGCTCAGCCAACAGCATAGTTATGCGGTGAGTGTATCTTTTCATCACGACTACGAGGATCAATTTTTTTTTGAGTGTATAATATTAAACAATAGACAATAATTGTATTCCAAAGAATTCCAACGCTTCTGGTCTTACATGAAGTAACTGGAATGGGAGAAGCGGAAATCCGGCAGCTACGAGCCTTCCCTTCTCGCTCGAGGCAACCGAAAATGTTTACTCTTTGAGGTGTTGGGGTATGTCCGGATTTTACTATCAACTCTAGACCATGAAGTTGCCTTGAGAACACCGGCAATAATCTGGGAAAAGTCTACAACACCATGCCTCACTGGTTCTGTTGAAGAACTCAAGAGGGCATCGGCCTTCCAATTTGCATGCTCTGGACGCTCGCCGTCTAACACAAGTGATCAGCGCCTAGCTGGAATTAGGAATCCATTACATGCTTACCTCTGCTTCAGACTTGTTCTTCCTTCTTCTCATCAAACCGTACACAAATGCTCCCATTGCCAGGAGTGACACACCAGCTACGCTGCCTGTTAGCGGATAGTTCACCATTGAAGTCTCAGCAAGGTCAACTTACCAACACCGCCAAAGACACCCAATAATACTACAGCTGTGGGAGTACCGCCGGCTCCCTTGGGAGTTCCCGTTGATGATGCTGAGGACATGGGGGCAGACACAGATGCCGCAGGAGGTGGCATCGGGAATGGGCTGGCTCCGACAAGAGGCATAGTCAGCCCGCTGGCTGGAGGTGGTGGTGGTGGAGGCGGTGGGGGCGCGATAACCGGCGGAGGAGGAGGCGGCGGAGTGCTCATCGGCGGTGCTGGCGGCGGTGGTGATGTCTGAACTGGCGGAGCCGGTGGCGGAGGAGGAGGCTGATTCACTGGAGGCGGCGCTACCGGTGTCGCAGTCACCGTGACTGTTGTCGGTACCATGATCATCACGGTCTGTGTCGCAGCCGGGGGCGTCACCGTCACGAAGATGGTGACCGTTGGTACGTTGGCATTGTTGTTCGGAGGCAGCCCCGTGGCCACGGGCTGTCCAGGTGCTCCCGGCGTAGCCTGAGGTTGGCCGCTGAGGAGGCCTAGGACTGAGAGAAGCTGATTCGGATCGAGAGGAAGCGCGTTGGCGTTGGGCGCGCTTGCTTGCTTTGCAGCACCAGCGGCGACTGCTTGAGCGTTGGCTGCTTCGGCATCTTGCATTTGCCGGCGTACATCTCGAATCTCCTCCTCTTCCTCATCGCGCTTGGCGACATTGTGGTTTCCCATATCCATCACTTGCTTCACCCTCCACGCCGAAGATGTTGTTGCTGAAGTGGCTAGTAGATCTTCTACTTTATTCGGTACGTCGATTCACGGTCTAAAACATTTCTGGTCCGGTAGGTGAGCCGAGAGGTCGTGAGGCACTGTCAAGCGTATCACAGATGCGCTTGTCGTGCTAGTCCGGTTGTAAATAACCGAGAGAAAGGGTCCTGGGATACTAGACAGGCAGCGGCCGGGGTAGCGAGCGAGGTGGAACCCATGCACTTCTTATTCAGGCCTTGTGCTCGTCCATTCTGTCAGTCTCTGCTAGTTCCATCCATCATTTGACTTCTGGCTCGTGTCAAACTTTCAAGGCCGAGGTGCCGCCACTCGGGCCCGGGCCTTTTCGCGCTGGTCTACGGGGTTGAGATGTGTCCCAAAGGAGCAAGTGGGCGTCAAGTTTCCGACTGACGGGTAGACATGATGGGAATTGGGTGTCATCAACACGGTTGCCGGAGACAAGAGGAAAAGAAGGTGATCGATTGAGGGCCGGCTTTGGCCCATTGGGTGAACGTGCGTTCCCCGGCCCTCTCTTTTTCTCTCCTCTGGTTTGTTTCCTCTGCCCTTAGAGTTCCTCTACCGTTTGTGTTGAGAGGAGAAGGGGAGGGGTGGAAGGGGGTCGGAGAGCCATAAACTTTGAAGCGTAGACTCGTTGTGGGCGACGACTGCGACACAGCGTCGAAGCAGCCTCGGTGTTTCACAAAGGAGGCAGAAGTGGTCTAGAAGATGGGACGTCCAATGGCTTCAGTGTTTTGCGAAACCACTTTCTGTAACCTCTTGAGCCTCCTTGCGCTTCCCATGCATTTGGGGGTGGGCGGCCGTGCGGTGAGTCGCAGGCATCCCCGGACCATCTCGTACGAGGGTGAACCTATTCCTCTCATCAACTTGGAGGTTTCTTTCTCGAGCTGATTATCTAAATTCAATTTGGCTCTTTCAGCCGTGTTCGCGATCTCTAATTGACGTCAGGACGATGATGAATACCAGCTGGCTGCGTCACAGCGTGGCGGTGAAAGCTGAATTGGGCTTCCAGACCAGCCGGTGGACTTGGCCAGTATTGTTCTTTATATGCATGAGATAACCGAGCGTAGAGATTGTCCACGGGGCCAAGATCTTGTCTTCCATACTTTAGTTTCTTTCATTTTCAACTGACAAGCTAGAAAAGGGATCCAGAGTCAAATTAAGCTATGAATCCCAATCGGCTACAGCCGCAGCCGCCGCCGCGACCAGACGTGAGGAGGGGACTGCTCGGAAGTCTGACTGCTGCATCAGCTGCAGCGTACAACTTTCTCGCTCATGACTACGAGTACATGCCGGACCGATACCATGACGAAAAGGCCTTTCCCACTCGGTTATCTCGGGCCGGCACCAGCATCCGACTGGGAGCCCCGCGCGGCCGTAACATTCTGCCGCTGAGGCCGCCGCCCATCCGGAAGAGGACCTGGCAGAAGAACAGCAGCACTGGAGAGCTCCGCACCAAGTCGTTCGAAGACTCTCAGTACAATCAGTATGATGAGGGACGTGGAGGCCAAGATCGGAATCCCTTCGATGATTCCAATGAAGTTGGGGACCAGCAAGACGACGACGAGGATGATGGCAATGGCGAACCGTTTTCAGTCTTTACCAAGAGACAAAAGTGGTTCATTCTCATCATTATTGCTTCTGCAGGTCTTTTCTCCGGGTTGTCGTCCAACATTTACAACCCTTCCTTGGATGCAATATCAAGGGTGAGTGGAAACTTTACACCGTTCCTTCAAAACGAAACGCGCGCGCGGCAGATGCTAACACACCAATTCAGGAGCTGATGGTTAGTGCATCACAAGTATCACTCACAATCACGTCTTACTTGATCATGCAAGCCGTTACACCGCTGCTATGGGGCCCCATGTCTGACACGCTCGGCCGGCGGCCAACTTACATCGCCTCCATGGGAGTTTACATTGGCGCCAATATCGCGTTGAGCTTCTCGCCAAACTACGCGGTACTGCTCATTTTCCGTGGCCTCCAAGCTGCAGGAAGTGCCTCGACTGTCAGTATCGGTGGGTATTTCGTCTCAGCCTTCTCTTCAGTTTCCAAAGTTGGTAGCTAATTAACGTGTGTAACAGGCAATGGTGTCATCCAGGATATCTCTCCGACGGCCGAAAGGGGTGCATACATCAGCTTCTATCAAGCGAGTGAGTCGTCGTACTCCCCGTCGGTGTTTTGAGCGGCATCTAATTCTTTGCAGTCCGAAATTTCAGCACAGCGATCGGCCCGCTGTTAGGAGGTGCTCTCGCCAATTCCTTGGGCTTTCGATCCGTGTTTGTTTTCTTGCTCATCGCCACGTCGCTTATTCTCATCACTATCATGGTATTTCTACCAGAGACTTTGAGAACTATTGCTGGCAATGGGTCCCTCCGTCTGAACGGCATCATCTATAAGCCGCTTTACAGATATGTGGCCAAGGAGCCGAAGTACATGGAGGATCCAGATGGACCTCTGAATCGAAAGATGACCATTTGGACCTTTTTGAGGCCATTCAAGCTCTTCAAAGAGAAGGACTTGGTGATCAACCTTGTATGGGGTGGTGTGATCTATGCCATCTGGAACATGGTAACGACTAGCACAACTCCACTGTTTAAGGAGCGGTTCGGACTAAATGAACTCCTTCTTGGTGTGGCATTCATACCCAACGGTCAGTCGAGAGCACTCCTTCCGAACTTTCAAGAATGATTGGATGGCTTGAACTCCGATGGGAACGGGACTTGCCTGGGCGTGACTGACCTGTGTGGGTAGGAATTGGGACCATTGTCGGCTCCGTGTTTGCGGGCAAACTTCTGACTCGGGACTACAAAGCCGTTGAGACCAAATACAAGGAAACCCACAACATCCCCTACGACGAGGAACTGTCACCCAAAGACATTGCGCCAGATTTCCCCTTAGAACAGGCCCGCTTGAGACGCCTCCCGTGGATAGTCTTCCTATTCGTTGCCTCCATCGTCGGCTACGGGTTTTCTCTGGCGTATCCCACGGCAACGTCCCGACCGGGATGGATTGCGTTGCCCTTGACAATGCAGTTTCTAATTGCCGCATCGGCGAACGCCATCTTTGCGCTGAACCAGACCATCATCTCGGACCTTTGCCCCGGTGAAGGCGCGAGTGCCACAGCCATAAACAACGTGGTCCGCTGCGGGCTGGCAGCTCTGGGCGTAGCATTCGCAGAGCAGATGCTCAACGCTGTTGGTCCTGGCACTGCGTTCCTCGTCCTCGGCATGGCAGTCATAGCTGTGTCTCCCATTCAGGTTGTCAATCAATTCTGGGGGCCCAAGTGGCGGGCTCAGAGAGAGAAGAGGAGGTCAAAGGTGGGTGTACAAGATCATCCGGACCGGCAAAAAGCCTAAAGGTTGTTTTTCCTTTGGGATATTCTCACGAGGGACATCGACTTGCATTTCCGAGCGAGGCGTTCTAGACATACACGGAGCATCAACCGCGCAGGAACGATTTTCATTAGCGTTGGCATTTGAGAGAGCGGCCTTCACCGGTTACGGTGCGTACATGTAGCCCTCAGGAACATAAACAACAGTTGCTTTAGTGATCAAGACTTAAACCAGGACAGCTCATCATACCATCTTGATGAGTCGGGGTTACGAACACCCCAATTCGCAAGCCTGAATCTTACATTCTCTTAATTCGGCTACTTCATCGGGCGAAGGTTCCGCCTCATGGCTGGGGCATCATCACTTTTGTCCTGATCAATTGCCACCGGCCACTCTCAACGATCGTCACTTTGACTAGGATGGCCTGTCACTTATGTCCGGTTGTGGGTCGATCTCTCTGGTTGCTTGAGAAGACAGAGTTCCTCTGTGGCGATCCTTTCTGTAGCAAGTCGTCTGGTGTTTCTGCTGAAACCTGTGGACGTACAGCGTGCACCCCGGTTGAAAGTTAATATGGTGCTCGAACGCCTGGCTTCGGTGGTCCGTACTTCATGCCTAAGACGCCGCATTGTTTTCCCAATGGAGCAAAGAATTGCGCTACGATTCGGCAAGCAGGTACAAGAACCCGTCTTCACGTGGGCTCTCGGCTCTTTACCCATTGGTACATGCACAGTTTGATGGATTAGACAGCACACGTCAAAATGATGGGGAAACAGGCTAGGATTTTCAGGCTATCTGACGTTAAAAGTTGGATGGCAACATGCTCTATCCCGTCATTCTGGCAGATGCAAGTGAAGGTGCAAATCTGCAGTCATTCTCAAGCACCAAGCAAAGGCTAAGAAAGTTGTCACGAAGATCACCAGTTCGTCGATGATCGAGAGCCTATTACCGACCAGAACTTTCACAATTTATTTGGCTCAAAGCCACCAATTCACAAGCGTCTCTCGAGAGTTCGCGGTGATTAGCTGAAGGTGCTGTGGGTGCGGGCCCTCGGCCCGAGCCTGTTGATCTCGGGGACCCCTGCTTCAAGGCCGATTCATGGCCTTGACAACTTGGATCAGCGTAAATGACTTATACAGGATGATACGGAAGGCTACATGGTTATATTCTCTGCATATAATTCAGCGAGCAGTAATTGATCAGCATCTCCTTACGTGTACAAAAGGAAAAACCTTAGCGCATGCAATTACTGGTGTTGTGTTGGACAAAGTGCAGAGCATTCTTCTCATCCATGTCGACCTACACTAGGTTCGTGAGAATAAGAGACAAAGGAGTAAAGGTTAGTTACCTGTAGTAGGACTCAATGGATTGTCGATCACGGAAGACTCTATTCGGAAGGTCAGTCTACATAATCGGAGCACTGTAATATAATACCAGGTACGGTGAAATTATCGTTTTTCGTGAAAGCAGGAGGCTCTAGAAAATGAGCTATAGTATACTCCGGCTCTTATTCTCCATTTCTGGGAGTGGAATGCCTCGAAACTGGTTCTTAACGGAGGACAAAGGAAATATTTTCGACAAGCAGCCCTGCCACTCTATCCTCACGGAAGTTGTCGCCAAATAGAAGCTATGTTATTGCTTTTGGTTATGTTCAACAGCATGATCGAGCATGATCGGTATGAGCTTAGTCAATGGCGGTAAGAAGGCGATTGCATGACTGAGCCTAGGCTATGAGCGCTGTATGAAGTAAAGCAGATAGGGGAGGACGTTGAATTGTCCAGAAACTAGGAGAAAAGCATTCGATCTCTTCTCAGAGCGCCTGATCACTATATAACTCTTTCCGTATATTCCCTGTTCATCTACGGGATGGGTCACGATTCTTCCAGTTCTACTCAATTCTATGAAAGTTAACCTTCAACACCAACTTGGCCACAACCCAGCTGGCGGTAGGTTACAATCCCCTTGTTGAGGCGGATTTCCGATGTACATTACTGCTTCTCACTAAGTTAATGCGTACCTCTAGTGTGCAGCGATCGTCTTTCCATCGCTAATCGCCCTTCGGTTTCCTCCTGTGTCATCTAGGTCGGTCATAAAGCGAACATCACCTCACGGCTTCGTGAAATTGGTTGTCTTGAAGTCCGAGCATTTTCGAATGATTGACTATGTGAATTTAATCCATAACTATATCGGTCTACTAATCTCTCATTATGATGATCTCAGCTGAAGATCGGAGGGTTCTGGATCCGCTTCCCTGAAGTTTTTGAGAATTCTTGTGGCCGGGATGATGTCTTCACCATGCCCAGCTAGCCGAGCTGACTTTCAGCTTTTTAGTAACAAGGCAGAAATTTTGCTTCTACAAGTCGATCGAAAGCTAGGATATAGCCTCTCCCGGGTTCTAGAATCTCAGTGAACCCAATGTCGCGAGATGCCGTCAGGTCATAGTCAATACGAATCGGCGAGGCCAGAGTGGCAGCCAGTATATCCCAATTAACATTCTCGAGGGAGCCTCGTTCAAGGCCATTCGCGAGGACCCAGTCCGACCACTTGTCTTTCTGAACAATGAGCCAGTCAATGCCAAATACCTGGTTGGTGAGCTGCCCTTGTGGGTCAACTCCGTTGAGGCCAAAATAGCGGCAAATCAATCGCCACTTCATCTCCCACGAGACAGAATCGCCGTCTCCGATATTGAACGACCGCTCGTGAGTCTCCTCCGGGTGCAACGAGGTATGAATATGGAAACGGGCTACCAGGTCTTGGAAAGAATCGGTGTGCAGTGCCGTCCAGGACTCTTGAGTTCCCGGAAAGGGACAAGACGCTCCGTCACCGTGCGTTGAACGATAGAAAGAGAGATACAGCCCCAAGCTCTGTGCCACGTTCATGGCGTTAAACTGGGGGACGAATCCAGGCTGGATGGTAGGCCTTGTCAGATGTGGCCAGAATGAGAGAGTTGAGGCGCGGCTATTGTCCGAAAACTCACGAGAAAGGACGGCCTGACTTCAGCCCATTTCCACGAACTTTTCGCGGCATGTCTGGCTACCACATCACACTGAGCGTAGTAGAAAATCTTGGATGCGTATGGTTCTGGCAAGCGGGCCAGGTCTTCTTTCCACGGTGCGGGAGGCCAGCCGTATCCTACTATTCCGTAGCCCTTAGGAAGACTTTAGTAAAAGATCAGTTTCCGAGGCAAGAGTTTCGATTACCTTTCCGCCTGTCTGTAGGGAAACAAATTCTAGCTTCGGGCATATATTCTTGACGGCTACCAGGGCGTTGTCGACGATCGCAGCGTTGATTTTGACTTGGCTTTCTGGATCACTTTCATGGCCCGTGTACGCTGCGAAAATGTTCTTAGCCGATCCATCTACAAATTCTGTACTTTGCTACTCAAGCTGACGAAGTAGCACTCACCAACAAAGTATATATGTGTAACATCATCAACTTCTGGTATAGCCTCAAGTCTCTGAAGCGTCAAGTCGGCATCGGTAAGATCGAGTCCGGTATGTATTTCAAGTCTCGGATCGTCCCCCAACCGCGCTGTTTTCCTGCTCATGGGCCTCTTGCTTAAGCCTATGACTCGATTGAATGTGGTATTTGATGGGTAGCTAAGACACTCGCGCATCAAAGCCCAGCCGGACTAGAATTTTCAGCATAGGGGTAAAAGAAACTAAAACTGCAACTCAGGAGACTCACAATACCGGAAGCCCCAAATATCATGGCAACGTTCCTCTTCTCAGAGACCATGTTTGCGTTCTCTTCGTTGATGATGTATCACGTTCCCAGCTTATAGTCCATTGCAGCCATGATGGCAGCCGTCCAAGTTTATATAGCCGACAACACTGCATGCAGGATGTTTAAGAATCTGCCCCTGCCGACAACTACTTCTGCCAAACCTGATTCCTGGGTTTATTCTAAAGAAACACGGAGTCGCTCGACTGAAGTCTGAGAGTGAAGCCATTTTGACGTGAATTTTCGCTCTCGCTTTCGGGGTGCATTGAGGAGGCCGAAAAGCTCATAGCCTCCCCACATGCAGGGCTTCTTGAGCTTACAAATTTCATCTTTCGTCCGTCCGACGGTCGAATGTCGCTGCGACAAGAAAACCAAGAAATAGATATAATCCAGAACCATTTGGACAAGAACATGCGAATGAATAAGTAAGCTGTAGACATAAATCATCGAATCACAGAGATAATTGCACCCTCCCCGAGGATCTTAAGATAACAAACATACCAGGTATGTGCACATGCTCAGTTGTGGTACAAATATTTTGCCTTGGCTACGGCTACTAATATCCCGGTGTCAAGACTGAGAATGTCAATCGAAGACTTAGATGGGAGGACTGTCCTGGCCTCAGTTACAGAGACAATCAATGCTCCGGCCAACGAAATTTGGCCGTTTCTGTCAGCGATCGGAGCCGAGCGGGTCCTGATCCCGGGCTGCACCCGGTCCGCAGTCCTGGAAGGATACGGCCAGGGCGCCGTCCGTCGCGTCTACTTTGGCGAAGCCTATTTTGACGAGCGCATTGTCGTGTGCGACCATATTACTTTTAAGCTGCAGTACGAAGTGCTTGAGCCGAGCTTGAGTCCGGCGAGAGAAGTCCTTGCGGCCGTGCAACTTCATCCTTCCGGTCCAGAGGAGACGACCGTCACCTGGGTATCTGGGGCCAGACGAGTTGAGGAGCAGCATGAGGAAAGCGTTAAGCAGCAGGCTGTGGGATTCTGCCAAGGCCAGATTGCATCTCTGAGGAGGTTGACTCAGACTACAAAGGTTTCTTCATAGGCGCTGTTTCTTTAGCGATGTACGCAGCGTACACTGCTCGAAACAGTATATGCCTAGGTGGCAGTTGGATGGACGAGCTTGAAAATAATACGCCTCCAAGGCTTGAGTTAGTTGCCATGAATCTAGCAATCGAGACTCTGCGAATGGCTCTCTTGCTGAGATAAATAGAGTTACCAGCAGGTGAATCGTGGACTTCTCATTGATTTTAAGGGCTTTGATCTCTCAAAGTGCCTGATGATAGAAGTCCGTTGAATGATGAGTGAGGACGTGTCCAGTTCTAGCAAAACAGCCTCTAATTGCCGCCCTCACCCCATAATCTCATTCAGCAGCAGTCCTTATCAGAGAAAAGACCCACAGTCTGGGTTTAAGGTTCGGTTACTAAGGTAGAGTAGAATTAAAAAAGATTGTACAATGACTCTGGGGACTCAGATCAGTTCCACAGATTCTAAGGAGAGGTGAGATCATTCTTCCCAGTGGGCTGCTGTTTTATATCGCTTCTGAGGAATGCCGACAGCGGATATTTCGCCACGAGCGTTGATTCCTCCGCGGCCTATCAGAGTTCTTCGTTCCACGTCAAAACAGCTCTCCTTCAAAACGTCGTCACAAAGGTTGTAGAGTCTCTTTACGGTCATATCGCAGTAAGTCTTCTCGTGAAGAAATACAACATCGTGGCAGTAAGATGTTGTGCTGTTGCAAACCAAGGACGCTGCATGTTCTTCGGCGCGGGTGATGATGAGATGAGTGATGTCAGGGTTTGTGCCTTGTCTCTTGGCCAGCTTCTCTCTCTTAGCCCTTCGATCAGATGCCGTCATGAAACGTCTGGAAATAGGCTGAGGGTCGTGGTCGGCCATCTTGTCCCATTTGACCTTGTCAACTGCGCGTTCTGGGTCCTTGTCCCGGCCTTATTGTCCGGTGATTGCATCTCGCTCGTGCTCTAGGGGAGGATTGAAGACGGGCAGGTGTGCCCCTGGCCGAAGTTGATACCAGAACGAGAAGCGAGGGGTGCTTTTACACAAGTATTCCTGGGGGTTTTCCTTGTACATCTTGACTTTATCTGGCGTTCCAAGCATATCGTTGAGATGAAAGCTCATGGCTCGCGCGTTGAAACCGATGGTATGGTCTTCATCCAGCCAGACGCACTTTGGATGCATGAGTTTTGCATCAAGCCGACGCCGGCTGAAGAACCAGCTCTGTCCACAAAGGGCCCCAAGGTCGCCGTAAAAGACGGAGGAGAGCTTTCCGTTCGAAACCTGGATCGCCGAGACACAGATGGCATCGGAACTCCACTGGTTGATGACAATGTACCTTGGTGTTGTCATCTTGTCTACGTGCACGTTGTGTTCGATCTTGTAAATGGAATCGTCCAGGTTGTTGTTTTGCCCGATGCGGTCACCGTCCTTCATCATGCGATGTCCAATCATTGCGCCAAGATCGTCGTATAGTTCCATCTGGGGTTGATGGCCGCCTGCTCCGCTTTCATCACCCAGCATAATCGTAACGAGAGTGTGGTCGACATGCTCCGTTGGGATGCCTTTGTTATGGGACCACATCAGATTTTAGATCTTGTCATTGATGCCGAAGAGGAATCCAAGGATCTTACGGCCTGGGCTACCGGGCGGAAGCATATTGCAGACGCTGAAGCCGATTACCCAGTATGTTGTGCGACCCAAATCTGTTCAGCAGTTGGACGAAGACGCTTGAAAAGACTGTAGGCTTTCCGATGGAGAGCTGCCTAAGACTGAGACCGCAATGGGTATTAAAGTAGCCTGTAACAGGATCGTGATGTTCTCGACGAAGCTTAAAGACTACCATCTTCTTATACTTCCCGTTACTTCTCGAATAGTCACTCTTTTGTCAATGGCACTGAACTCTTTTGCCGCTCTGGGCCAGAGAGTCCCCTTCCAACACAATTGACACGTCGGACAAGGCAAGGGGCGCAAGAGGGATGTCTTTCTCTACGAGGTTTCACGACGCAGCACCAGGCTTTGATCGAATGGAGGTTCCGGATCCTGAGACGCATTTCATCCCTTGATTTATTCTACGGGCAGTGCCCTTCTTTCGTATACGTTCCGGGAATGTGCTCGGAATCTTTTTCTTGGGATGTTCGATCTCAGTATCGGGAAGGTCGAATGGGACTTGGCCCCGGCAAATCTCGTTGGCTACTTTTCAGACCCTCTCCTAAGGCATTTAACTACAATGGAATTGGTGCACGATGCTTTGATATGAGGTCTCTTCCGCTACTCGCTCGTGGCTGCTGGGGAACTCATAGTCGCGAAAGTGTAGTCCATATACCGCTTACGATTTGTAGACAGCTCGAGTCACGACTTGAGTTCTGGGACTATGGTTATGGTGGGTAGCACCACCTGGATTGCCAGTGCATTGTTTGCTTTTTGCCACAATGGAAGTATGGGATGCACCCTGCAAGTCTTGGTAACCCTTGTTTACCAGAAATACTTGTCAGGTAGACGCATTGGGCCATAATAGCAATACGTATTGTTACACTGCGATCGGTCTGCGCTGCATTGCTTGATCAGCCTGTCATCGGCCCTCCATTTGTGCTTGACATATTAAATCACGGCATAGTCGAGCAAGATAAGCCACAATTCCACGCAAGACTGCGTGGTTTCCTCCGCAAACTGATTCGATTCCGCAAAGTTCGAGTGCTTCGCAACATTGGGTTATTGGTTGACATGCGCACGCTCTTGCCTTAGTCCATCACTAAAAGGCTTGGGGGCTTCGGGGGTTTACAATTGGAAGATTCTATAATACTCCCATCTCATTTCACCAGGCTTATACCACTTGAACAATTTGAAAGCTTCTCGGGGAGGAATGGTTATCTTAGCCACATACAACTAGATAAACTCCACCGGATATTCGTCCTTCGATAAACCTCGAGCCTCGCTATCGCTTCGACTGTCTACGGATCAGATTCTTCGGAGAAAGTAAGAATAGTTGCCAGTTTGACTCGAGCGGGCTAAAGCTTTACCTATGGGCTTCAAGTTCAGTTGAATCTTCCGCGTGCATCCATATTTGGGAAGTAAATATGGACATCATCATGCTTGATAAAGTAGCGGAACTCCGAGGATCTCGCATCTCCGAAGGCTGCTGGGTTGATTAAACCGCCGGTTGAAGTTTCTGCCCAGTGACCTCAGATTCCCCTCGTCTTTACCGATGAGAGAGCTTGCCCGTTTGCTTTATGCAGGGCCAACTCTGTCAACAAGTTTGGCCACCGAATGGTACCGAACGGTACCGAACGGGTGATACGAAAGGGGTGGTTGCTAGGAGGGAGAGATGCTGCCCAGGCTCCAGGATCGAGCGTGGCCATCTCAAACGGTATTGGAAGACTAAGAGGCACCACTCTTGACGGTCGCATTCACCATTGCGAGGCTCACTTTGGGCAGAGGCGTCGCCATCGACACACCTGCGTCATGAATAAACTTTGTAACCGTGCTTTATTGGCGAGCTGAAACTACTCTAATGGCCGTAACTTTGCATCAGGACGATAAGCTTCGGCTACAAGCAACTCACCAGGCACCGCACAAACATTAGAGGATCATGCTTGTCACATTTGGAGCACTTTGCACTTTCGGTATAGAACCCGACTTGTTGTCCAGTCATCATTCGTGTCTTTGTCATCCCTATGTACACACACTCGGGTTTCCCAGCCAAGCCAAAGCCTTTGTAGTCTCACCGAGTGACATGCCCACGACTTTCTCACCAATATGTTCCACCGAATAGAGTTATTGAATTATGGAGTTTTAGGTTACCCACGAGGCATGAAAATGAGTGTCTTGTCGATTGAAGTTTGTCCCGTGTGTTCGCTATCTCCGAACGATTGCTGACTCAAACTGCGCAAAAACCATTTCGTCAACACAAGCTCTCATACAGAGTTCCTACCAGGAACAGCAAGGGGTAAACCACCACTTCCAGCAGGCTTAGGGGGCGGTGCTTGGGGCTTTGGAGGATTCTGTGGTGTCTGCGGTGCAGGATTTTGAGGCGTCTGAGGCTGTTGGGGAGGAGGAGCTTGAGGCTTGGGCGGTGTCTGGGGGGCAGCACCAGGCTTGTTCCCATTTGTTGCACCTCCGGCGAGAGCACCAGCCATGAGAGCTCCAGCGGGGGCAGGGGCTGGATCCTTCGGGTTGTTTGTGTTTGTGTTACCGCCCGCCTTGGGCGTTCCTCCAGCCGGAGGCTTGGGTTTTGAACCGGCCGCAATTGCGCCGGCGGGAACGGGAGCAGGTGGGACGGGTTTAGCACCTTGGTTTGGATTACCTTTGGCAGCACCAGCAGCGTTTCCTCCAGCCGCAGCAGCTCCGGCTCCAGCGGCGGCGCCGGCTTTCTTGGGATTCGCAGCGGGTGGTTTGGGCGCGCCGGCGGGTGGTTTGGGCGGAGTAGCAGGAGGAGGGGCGGCGGCGGGAGGCTGAGCGGCAGGCGGAGTCGGCGGCGTGACCTTGGCCGGAGGCGGTGCCGCCTTGGCCGGAGGTGGAGTGTTGACCTTCGCCTTCGCCTTTGCCTTTGCCTTGGCGGCCTTCGCCTTCTTCTTCTTCTTCTTCTTCTTTTTCTTGCCGAGGAGCTTGGCGAGTTTCTTCAGAATTTGACGCTCTTTGATGTGCGGCTCATCTTCCGCGACTAGCGCGGTCTCGGGCTGTTCAACAGCGGCGACAGCGACGGGGGCATTAATTTGCGGCACGTCCGCCTGAACGCCCAACTCGCTGCTTCTTGTTAGTTCATCCTCCTCAAGGTCAGATCTTCAAGACGAGGGGCTTATGCGTACCCTAGGTCCCGTTGGACAACATCGGTCCCCGCCGGAGCACCGTTGATGCCGACGAGGAGGGCCGAGGCGAGCAGGAGGGCTGGCGTGAAGTATCTCATTATAGTGAATGGTGATATTTGCTCAACAAATGATTGGAGGAGGTTGTGACCAAGTCAAGCTTGGCGCTTGATAGGAGGGGAGTACTCGTATCTGAGGTTGCCGTTTGGGTATCGGCGTAAACTGAGGAGCCTGCCTGGCCTCTCAATGCAAGAAATTGGCGATGGAAGACTTCTTTAATACTCCGATAAGTCAACAAGAGCAAGTGTCCATTCCGGCTCGAGCTCAGGGATGTGCAATGCTCGTCCAAACCTTGGAATGGCGTCCATTCTACCAGCCGTAAGGGGTGGGCGTCGATCCATTGGCCGCGACTTCAGATTAACATTCACGGAAAGGGCGACTCGCGAGTGCCTGAAACTAGCAATCGCATTCTCCAGGACGACAGCATCGAGAGTTCACGGCTCCAAGTGACCGACCCCACGAGAGCCACGCACCGCATAGAGCCGGATCGGCGTTGAGTGGAAGGATACTACCTTGCATCTGGCTCGCCTTGAGTTCTCTCAGGGTGGGAGGCATCTCCCTGCGTCGCTAATTCTCCTAACTTTCTTGGATGAAGAGACGTTTCGCTGCGGCGTTTCGTGGGTGGAGGCTGTCCTTGTCTGATGTAAGCCTTGAGCAGAATTCTGCAAGAAGACGCGAGATGGACCAACTCGTCCGATGTCGATTCGTTTCAGTCCCCCTCTTGAGATGGTGTGTCTTGGAGGCTCGACCTGGAGTGCCCCTCTTCCCTTCTGCCCTTTCGGCAAGCGGAGTCCTGGTCTTAAGCTTACCTTTGGCGCCAAAGGTACGAAGGGGACCAGGTCGTGGAAGCCAGGGGGTGGCTGTCGTCTGCTCGAGACCACACTGGCGGTTCGACTTCGCCCGAATGCAGGCTGGAAGCTTCGGGAACCTTGCCCTCTTGCGATTCCCTGGATTCTGACGATAGTTCAGCGAGTTTGTGTTAGCTTCATTTCGAAAGTGTTTTGAAAGCCTGACGGTCTAGTGCGTGGCCCGTGGTTGGTTTACATGCAGGCTGGGAGGTAAATCGTCGCCTGCCGCGAAACTCAACTTCTCAGTCCATGCTTGAGAAAAACGTAATTCTCTGCTTGATCTGGCCCTTCATCCAAGAACCCACGTTGTGAAGAGGAAGGGGGAAAAAGTGAGAATTAAGGTCAGCATAGTTAGACTAGTCCGCGGCTCTGCAGCAAAGTTTTCAGCAAACGCAATACGATGCAATCTTGCATCACGAGCCACATAGGCAAAACCGACGTCGATTTTCAAGTCGTCCTTGACATCATACACTACCATGATACGCCAAGACTGGCGCTCTCTCACTTGAATGCCAGCGAAACGTCCTGACAGCTGGCGTGGAGAACGACGGAGAATCCTTTCAGACGGCAGTGGTAAAGAGCATCTCGTAGCGAACCGTGGTGCACCATAGCCCACTCAGATGACAAGATCGGGTGCTCTGCGCAACCTCATGCGAAGGAATGTTGACAGTTTGGATGGGCAAAGCGGCAGTCGCTCACGGACGTTCAGCGGCGACCAGCCGCCAGTGGATATGCGTGGCGAACGAATCTGGTGCATGAAATCGCGCGGGTAAGGTGGGCTGCCAAGCTGCCTGCTTCCCCAGCGACGATCTCCCAGAGAATCGGGAGTTATCCACAAGGATACACGTCCAGCAGGTATCGTTTCATGCGCCTCTGGTTCCGTAGGGCCTGCTGGATGGTCGTGGGAAAACCAAGGTACTTGTTTACGGGGCTGGCACGCTGGCTTTGCTGGCAAAACGGGCTGGTTACTCATTCAAAAAGTTGGGGCTATCATCGTCTGAAGAGACCAGACTGAATCATGCCTGGGTGGCGTATCAGAAGACAAGACGTTATTGAGGCGGATATGCAGGTACGATGGCTCGGCCAATTACAGCTCCACGCCGTTTTGTCTCGTGATATCCGTATTGTCTCTTTGATAGCCCGTTGGGTGAAATTCCGCCGCTGCCGCAGGCAAAGTTGCTTAATTTGCCGGGAATATCATGCATTTGTTGTACGCCTCGGCAGTGTCAACTTGGCAAACGCGGCCTGGTCCATTGAAGCGCGGAGAATCAACTTGGATGTTTCCGCGGGTGCGCGCTGCAAAAGAAGCTTTCTGCGTAGGCGATCTTTGTGCAGATCTTTGAGACTCGCAACGTGCAGGAACTGATGGTATGAGACTCTGTGGCGCAGACTAGGTATGTGACGATGTTGCAGAACCTGCAGAAGAGCTGTTGCAAATGGCTCTTGGCACGATCCTATTTTTGGTCTATTGCAGTCTTGGCCAGAACTCTAGAATGCGTGTTGTTCTTGCAGTCTTGACTCTCGAATCTCTTGACTAAGTGGTCAGTATGGGAAGACAGGCAACAGATAAACTTTCCAAACCTGGAGCTGCGAGCCAGGACGTCAGGATCTGGATATACGATGCGTGGGCCACATGCCTTGGGATTATGGAACAGGCTCAATCGGGATATGACGAGAGGATAGGAAGATGAGGTGACGAATGCTTTGCCAAACTCAGTGCTGTCCGAGTCGTGTTGATGGCCTCATAGAGTGGTGGGGGGGGCGTTCGGGGACCGAGGTCGCGTCCGAGCATCGAAAGGGGCCCCATCTCAACTTACATAATGCACTTACATAAGCCATCACGCTGTCCGGTCGTTCCGAGCGGGAAAACCTCTGGCCGGCAAAAGGTCGGAGTTTGATAAGATAGAGAGACTTGGCCGAAGATCAACCGATGTGTGTGAAGGTGCTGTGAAGGTGCCTTATGTAAGCTGACATAAGCCGGAGAAACACGGGGCAGCGGATGGAGGTACGTACATATGTCTCCACCAGGGCAGCGGGTTTTCCCCCCGTGGGCCCCCGGTGGACCGGCACCTGTTCCCCGCGCCTCTCCCCCTTCTCTCTCGTGCTTCCGTAGGATCCTCCGTGCCCCTCACTTCTCACCGGTTTTGTGGCTGCATCGCCAGCCGCTTGGTGCAACATCCCGTGCTACCACCGCTTGATCACTTCATCTTGCGGTACATTACCTTAAGCGAATGCCTTGTCAATAACTGAGGGGTATTGATGTCTGCCGATATGACTAACACTGCGTACCTACAAGGGGGAGAAAACGTTCCATACCCCAATTCTACTCCGTACACGTCATGACTTTTGGCTCCCGGGTTCTTATCAAAATGAGCTGCCTCTCTTGGCTGGTAACGCCATCATTCCGCGTTGACTAAAGCTACGCGATCCCGGCCGTTTCTTATCACTCTCGCCGGGCTCCGGGGCCGTGCCGGCAGACTACTCTACGCGATGCACCTCTGCATCGAGCTAAGCATGCACGCGAAGATATCTTGGCTCGGACCGTTGGGCTTATAATGAAAGCAACCCCGAGTTGAACGACCTGGTAAATACTTCGTGATTAAGTCGACCATTTGTAGTCCAATGATCGCGAGACTCGATCTCACTCAGTCTTGCATGATGGCAAGCTATCGTCCGGTGATATTCTTCGCACTGATCTGGCTGAGGATCTTTGGCATCGCCACCTGCTTGACGACGGGTGAGCCTTGTCATCATCAACTGTATGCCAGTCTATCAACTGACTTGAGTTGCAGTCAAAGGTGTACCATTTCCCGGCCTGATAGATGTGACTCTCGACGAATTGGCCGAGGGCCTCGAAAACGGCCTCTTCACCAGCGTTGACCTTGTCAATGCCTATCTCGGTCGCATCAACCAAGTGAACAGTACCCTCAATGTCGTGACCGAGGTGAACCCGAATGCTCTGTCAATTGCCGCCGACCTAGACGCTTCGCGCGCCAATGGCACGATCAAGGGTCCGCTCCACGGCATTCCCATCCTCATCAAGAACAACATCGCCACTGCCGACCAGATGAACAACACTGCGGGCTCGTGGGTCTTGCTGGGTGCCAAAGTCCCTCAAGATAGTTTCATGGCTAAGAAGCTACGAGACGCGGGTGCAATTATCCTCGGCAAGACCAACCTCAGCCAGTGGGCCAACTTTAGGAGCAATAACACGAGCAACGGATGGTCTGCGTACGGAGGTCAGGTATACGCTGCCTATTATCCCCAGCAAGATCCGAGTGGAAGCTCAAGCGGCAGCGGTGTAGCCTCAGATCTTGGCCTCGCCCTTGCTGCTCTGGGCACCGAGGTACGTGAGTCGGCTTCATGTGCACGAGATCGTCTTACTAACACTGATCAGACCGATGGTTCCATTGTCTCGCCCTCCCAGCGTAATAATCTGGTCGGCATCAAGCCGACCGTTGGCCTAACATCCCGCCACCTTGTGATACCGATTAGTGAACATCAAGATACCATCGGACCCATGGCCCGCACTGTCAAGGATGCCGCCTACATCCTCCACGCCATCGCCGGCGCAGACCCCAACGATAACTATACGTCGGCTATACCCAACAATGGCGAGATACCGAACTATCCAGCCGCTTGCGATATGTACGGCCTGCGTGGAGCTCGCATCGGAATCCCTCGCAACGCCATCGAACTCTTTTCCGACAACACCACAGGGACTGAAACGGACGCCTTTGAGGAGACTCTCGAGATCTTCAAGGCGGCGGGTGCCGTCATTGTCGATAATGCCAACTTCACCGCCGCGGAGCAGCTAGCTACGTCAAACTCCGAGACCATCGTCTTGAACGCAGACTTCATCTCGAACTTGGCTTCGTACCTCGCCGAACTCACAGTCAACCCTAACAACGTGAAGTCTCTGGCCGACGTTCGTGAATTTACACAATCATTCGACTTCGAGGATTATCCTGATCGAAACACGGGTGTTTGGGACGATGCTCTCGACGACCAAGGGTTCAACAACACCGACCCACGATTCTGGGCTGCGTGGCAAGAAAGCGCATTTCTCGGTGGCGAGGGCGGGCTTTTTGGCACACTGGAGAGGCATAATCTCGACGCCGTTATCCTGCCGACGAGCTTCTCCAGCACCTGGGCTGCCATCGTCGGGGCACCTGTGGTCACAGTGCCTCTGG